AAGGCATAACTAGATGCCTGATCCTATTAAAAGCATGGAAGTAACCACTGTGCTTGCTGTTCTATGTTCTTCCATAAATAGAACTGCCCTGGAACACGGTGCAAACTCTTAATTAGTTTGCAATCTTGAAAGACCATTGAACACGATAGCTTCCATTGTTGTATGCAGTGGAGGTCCCGGGATATTAAAGTGAGTAAAATAATATCTTTTAACTGGACCAAGTCAAAAGCTTGTCTCTCTCACACACAGAACCTGGTCCAATAAAAGATATTGCCACTTTGACAGTCAAACAAGCTGGGTTTATTGGCTGAGAGTATGATTCTGCCACACTATGGCTATGCCTACACTACAGCTTAAATCCCCATAAATGATATTGCCCAGGAGTGTGAATGAGCCACACTGATGAGCATCATAACTTAGGCCAATGTAAGCGCCCGTATGAACAATGCTATGAGTGTGGGAGCATTTCTCTTGCTGACATAGCTTCTGCTGGTCGCAGGGTCTGGAGTAATTAAGGACTCTCATCTGACACATGGATGGACTCCAGAGAGCCCCACTGACTTCAACTTGGCTCTGCATAGTGCAGCAGTTCACCTGCACTCCAGCAATTCCAGGATCAGTCTTACTCAGCTATTGGCCACAATCGGAACAGGGTCAGGCCCCCAGCCATGCTGTTGGGAACCTTTTGAAGATAATGAAGCTGCAGAGAACACAATTTTACCGTGTACGTATAAAACCCATAAGATAGCAATTTTATTCTGTATGGCATTTACTTGGAGCAAAGTGCCACTGCTTTTTACGTACCAGTCCCTAATACAACAACGCAGGGTGGTAGCATTAAAGGCGGAGGTTATTTATATGGAACCAAGGCTGCCAACAGGGAAGGCAGGGGCCCGGCGATTTAGAAGAGCCTGGGACACTGAGCTGCCCCACAAGGCTACCACAGTAGCTGCTGGAGCCCTGGGCCTTGTAATTCTTTGCCAGAGTCCAGTGTGATGCAGTCTGGGCAGCACTGATGATTGGCTGTCTCTAGCCCCGCCCCTTGCACCTTAGGCCCTGCCTCTTCTGGGGATCCCAGAGCTGAGTATCCTCCCCTATACCCCTTCCCACATTTCCTCGGAGCCTGGCAAATTCTGTCACCAGTCCTGCATGTAACTCTGGAGAGCCAAGGGAACTATAGAAATGCCAGACCATAAACGTAAGCAATATTCATGATATTTTGCAAAATATCAGGGAATGGTTATCATGATCTTACCATGTCTGAAACACGGAGGTGACCATAGGAAAACACTATCGCGTTTGGAGGTGTCGCCACCGGGAGCATGAAGGCAAAAGAGGCACTGAGTGTACAAGGGATCATGATGTACAAAGGATTGACTTCGATGGACTGCGACTGAGGAAAAACAGACCAGGGGCAGCATTAGCAACATTGAGAAACAGAAGAAGGAAGAGAGGCTCAGACACAGTATGTCAGTTCACCCCCAGTGTAAGGTACGGCTGAAAAGCAAATTCATGATTCCCTGGGCTCCTCTCCTAGCAAAGGACGGTGTCACTGAACAGAAAGTTCATTCTAACCAGACCTGCATGGCTTGCATCTCACGTTATTGATGCAGGTCAAGGCTTCCACCCTATAGTCAGAGAGAGGGGCTGGGTTACTAGTTTGAATGCTAGACTAGCCATTAGGAAATCTTCACTTCTAACCCGGCATCTGGCATAGACTATCTATCCATGGGCAGGTCATTTGGAGTAGGATCTTTCAGAAGTGCACAGGCCTGGCTTAGCTCAGTTCCCATGGAAGGCAAGAGGCATTTCACCACTGGCCTCAATGGGAATGGTTTTAGGTCAGCACTGACCTGATTTATGGATCTGCTGAGCCCCCACAACTTCATCTGTGGTCATGGGAGCTCTAGGTGATCAGCACTTTTGAAAAATCAAGAATCTCTCTCAGTTCCCTAGCTGTAAAAGGGGAGTACCATTGTAAAACAAAGCAAACATGTGTTACCTCACGGGATATTTATATGGGTTAAGGTAAATGATTAGGGTTAAATGTTCTTGTTCTGTGTTTAAACAGCACAAAGAACAGTGGACCCCTCATCCGTGGCTGAGGCTCCTAGGCCCTACAATAATAATACATTTTGCCCTCAGAGGGGCACCCAAATCCCATCCTAATTAAAGGCAACTGCACATGCATATCTGAGGGCAGAGTTTGGCTCCATAATATTTTCCAAACATTTGGGGATGATCGATCTGTATATCTGAGGTATTTCAATGGCTCATTTGCTTAGTACCTGAGTGCCTCACAGTCACAGAATCTTAGGACCATAATGCTGGAAGGCACCTCAAAAGGTCATGCAGTTTAGCCACTGCAGCAGGACCAAGTAAACGAAAACCATCCCTGACAGCTGTTTGTTCAACCTGTTCTTAAAAATCTCCTCTGATGAAGATTCCACAGCCTCCCTTGCAAGGCTATTCCAGATCTCAACTACTAGAAAGTTGTTCCCACCATCTAACCCAAATCTCCCTTGGTACAGATTAAGCCCATTACTTCTTCTCTTACCTTCAGTGGACATGGAGGACAACTTGTGACAGTCCTCTCTAAAATGGCCCTTCACATGTAGTTATCCTTACTACCTCCTGTGAGGTCTGGGAACAAAGTCTGGGGTCCCCAGACTCTTATCTGGTATAAATCAAACTTAAAAAGCAACAAATAGTCTGGTAGCACTTTATAGACCAACAAAACATCTAGATGGTATCATGAGCTTTCGTGGGCACAGCCCACTTCTTCAGATGACTAGTCATCTATGTGTTTTGTTAGTCTATAATGTGCTACCAGATCATTTGTTGATTTTTGAATTTATCCTGTACAGACTTACTCGGCTACCCCCTGAAAGCTGGTATAAATCAATATAGCTTCACAGACTTCGGTGAAGTCACATGGCTTTATGCCAGATGAGGGTCTTTACCAAAGAGTGCCAAATGTTATCATCACTTCACTATACACGAAATCTCACTCTGTATGAATTCTGTACAAGCAGGTTTCACAAGGTAGTCTCGTTGTCCTGAAATGGCATTCAGCCAAAGATCCCCATAATCACCATTTAATTTATTTTGTATATAAACTGTTTATGACTCTGACGAGTCAGTATTCTTCCTGCTGGCTTTCTATTCTTATTTTCATACTGTCCATCTCTTCTAAATCAAACATATGCAGTGACTCTCACCCTGCCCATAACCAGTGCAGGGTGAGAAGGGCAGCTGCCTAGGGTGCAAAGCCATGGGGTTGGAAAAATGGGGAGAGAAAAGCCCAATGGGAGAACAAATATGCTTACAGAATCATAGATTCATAGAACACTAGAACTAGAAGGGATCTCAAGAGATCATCAAGTCCAGCCCCCTGCCCTCTTGGCAAGACCAAGCACCATCCAGATCATCCCTGATAGATATGTAGCTAACTTGCTCTTAAATATCTCCAGCGATGGAGACTCCACAAGCTCCCTAGGCAATTTATTCCAGTGTTTAACCACCCAGACAGGAAGTTTTTCCTAATGTCCAACGTAAACCTCCCTTGCTGCAATTTGAGGCATTTCTTCTTGTCCTATCATCACAGGCCAAGAAGATTACAATTTTCTCCCTCCTCCTTGTAACACCCTTTTAGGTTCTTGAAAAAACTGCTATCATGTCCCCTCTCAGTCTTCTCTTTTCTAAACTAAACAAGCCCAGTTCCTTCAGTCTTCCCTCATTGGTCATGTTTTCTAGACCTTTACTAATTTTTGTTGCTCTTCTCTGGACTTTCTCCAAATCTTTCTTGAAATGTGGTACCCAGAACTGGACACAATACTCCATTTAAGGCCTAATCAGTTCAGGGTAGAGCGGAAAAATGACTTCCCATGCGTTGCTCACAACACTCCTGCTAATGCATCTCAGAATCTTGTTTGCTCGCTCCAGATGCTAAAATACCTCGCTATAGCTCTGCTCTGTCCTCTTGCCAACACAGAGTTGGTTCCATTACCTTCAACATTCCCATGCATGAAGTTTTTTCTCCTAAATGAGGCTTGCTACATGTCTGGTTTATTTCTCTTCACAATTCACTTTTGGCTGCAGAGTTACATATAAAAATGATGCTTGGTGATTTTTTCCTCCTCTGCATGGTATAATTTGTGGTTCTGGTCAAATTTATAGGGAGTTCTGTTGTTTGATCTCCCACAACACTTTGAGATGGTTTTCCAAGTGATATAGGCACTTGATTATAATTACAAGACTCACAGAGCAAAACATTATGCCCATTTTGTGGGCTTCTCTAGTATCCAGAACTTCAGTGTCTATTTAAGACACTGCCAGCTAAACAGCCTAGTTCAGGTTAATTCTGCTTGAAAGATAAAATTAAAATTAATTAAAAATAAAGACAAGGCTATCTATACTCATCTGCTCTAGTGCCAGCTCTGCTCAAAAACATCTGTACCATTTTAGTCCTCTCCTTATGGATTTAAAAATGTTCTGTTTTATTCTGCAGAAAGAGACTGAGATGGCTGAAACATCCTAGGAAATGAATGAAGTGTGCTGGATATTACCAAAGGAGAACACAAATCTTGAAATGCGGGGGGAAGGGAAATCTGCTGTCTACAAGAAGACTGTGAAAGCAAAGGAAATAACATTTTGCATTTATTTAACATTTGTAATCCAAAAGGAGCGTAAAGCATTTAATTAATGATATACATCCAGGGCTCAGTTCTCCACTGTCCTTTCCTTGGGTCATCATTTACACCTCTGCAAAGTAGGGGTAAAATGTTAAATACATTTTGTACTCATTTTGCACTTGGTAAATGATCATGCAAGGTGTAAGGCAATAGAAAAAACAAGCCCTCAGAACTAAACTTATCTAAACAATACTAAACGCATGTGCTTAAGTTTATCCTAATTGGCTTCACTGAAACTTTTTCATAAGTTTCATAACTTTCCATATTCATAAGGTCCAGTACTTCAGTTCACATGTGCTTAATTTTCAGCTTGTGTTTAGGGCCTATTGACTTCAGCGATGCTCTCCTGAAATGTTTTTGGTGGGGACTGGCTAACGCGCGGGGACAAGCTAGAACTTTTAACCTCCAGACTTCTGGTCGAATACAGCCCAAGTGACCCAAAGTCCTTACCAGCTGACTGGTGTTGAGTGAGCTCTGTTAAATGATTTGGTGGCTCAGTCCACTTTCTAGTGGATAAGTGCCCTCCTTGCACAGCAGTTGGCATTAACTGGCCTCCTATTAGGCAATTTCAGGAGAGGGACCACGGAAGTTGATTTACTCTCTCACTCCAGGAGTTGTCCCATCAAGGCTGATGCACAGTGGCAGGGCAGTAACAGGGAAGTCTGCAGAGCTGCTGCCTGTGTGATACCTGGCCTGTGGATAAACAAAGGATGTTTCCCCTAGCACTGGAGCCAGTGCTGTCTGATACGTTGTATGCTTTCTGGAGTAACCCTATTTGCATAAAGATTCCCTTGGCTTAAATCATATATACTGCACATGGTAATTAATATGGCCTTGCTCTGTTTTAAAAGATTATCCATTTTTCTTTGATGTTAAAGTCAACTTTACAGATCAGCAGTGAGAAAAACCCATGAAGAAAATGAATCTTACCAAGGACGCAAAGACAGGTAGAAAGAGGGTGGCCGTAGCTACATTGCTGGTGCATTCGGTGAAGACTGCGATAACAAGTGAAAGGATCACTGCAATGGCCCAGGGTGGAACAGCATGCAATGGGGTCATCTGATTCCCCAGCCATTTCGACAGACCAGAAGCCTGACAAGATCAAGAGGTGCATTTCAGTAAGACACGGAACTCTAGACCATTGCTCATGCAGTGTGCAATGTATTGCCAAACCCCAATACACACATGAAAACAGGCCATTGACATTAGTGGTTAGAGCATTCAAAAGCAGGCAAACTGGGTCATTTATAAAAGAAATGATGTGAGCTTTCTTTAAAATAATAATAAAGGAGATTCCCTGCCAGTTGGAAATTAAGTCAGATGTATTTCTCCCATTCTCATCAGAAGGAACTTACAGTTTTGCCATGTAGAAGCATAAAACTGACTTATATCCAAGATCAAGGAAGTCACACCTTGCCAAGAATTTAATGAATTGCTCACAGGAATTATTGAAAGAATTGCTAAAGCTTCTGAAGGTACTGAATCGATTGTGTTTTCCTTCATGAATACTATCAGAGATTATCTCCAGTGGCTTTTAAAGATTTTCTGCTATGCAGTCCAAAACCCACACTTTGAAACCTGCAGATCCAAAGTCTGGGCAATGTTCCAATCCAGGGCTTTTATTTGGTCCGTCATTTAATAACAGTCCAGCCACAAAGTTTGGATCAGGAGGTGAACTTCCTCAAAGCTGGACAGTTTGAGCTTCTGGGGGTTTGATCCAGACCCATCTCAACAGGGATGCAAGAAACAGTTTAAATTTTAACAGTTTAAAGGGCTCTTGCAAATCCTTGCCTACTTCTAGAACTGAATTGAACCTTTTCCTAAGTGAGGAACATTAGATCAGAACAGTGGCCCAACGAGTCCTATTCCTATCTCTGATGGTAGTGACTACGGGTGCCTCTACACTGCACTCTTAGCTCGAAACAAGCTACGCAATTTGAGCTGTGCAAATTGCGTAGCTTATTTCAAGTGTATTGCGAAATAGCTTAGGTCATAATTTGGTACTGTCTACACAATGCCAAAATTTCAAAATAAACCACTATTCCAAAATGTCCCTTAATCCCCATGGAACGAGGTTTACAGGGACGTCAGAATAGCGTGCCCATTATTTTGAGAGAGACCTTGAAATAACAGGCTTGTTCAAAAGACACAGAATAGCTATTTTGTGATACCAGAACTATCCGGAAATAGCACTGCAGTGTAGACGTACCCTACCAGACCTGCCAAAGGAAGGTTCAAGAAACTCCTAGTGGATGACTATGGAATAAGATTCACATAGAAGTTGGCTGGATTAGGAAAGGAGATTTAGGGGCTGCATCTAGTGGCCCAGGATGCAGCCTCAAAAGCTCTACATGCTGCTGTTCCCCCTTGCTTCCCGGCTGGAGCCTCATGCATCTCTGGCAGTGGTGCTTGCCTGCAGGTTCCACTCCCTCCACTCCCATTGGCTGGGAATTATGGCCAATGGCAGTGGCGGGGGTGTTGCCTACAAGCACAAGGCTGCATGGAGCCACATATCCCCCAACCTTCACCAGGTAAGCACCAAATCCCTTTCCTCCCACACAGACCCTGCACTCCCATCCCCACCCCATTCCTGCACCCTATCTCCCATCCAGACCCTGCTCCCTCACCCAGATCCTGCACCCTATTTCCCACCCCTACCCCCACTCTCCAGCTGCCCCCTCCCTCATATCTGGCCCCACCCCAGAGCCTAGGAAGCCCCACAAAATCTACTAGCCCAAGGCCCCCAGAAGAGCTAATCCAGCCCTGACAGAATTGCTTTCCAATCCCTCCTGTGCCCTGAAATATGAGGTTTGCATCCCTTCTAAACAATCCTCCTAACAGCTCTGAAGCTACTGCACCGTTGCACTTCTGTTCTCTGGCCAGGAGGAGGACTAGGGTGACAATACATCACAAGAAAGGCAACTCTCGTGCTACTTGCAGCTAAGGAAACCCCAAAGAAGACTTCCAGTCAACCCTTCCCAGATTCTGGAGAAACATGAGTAAAACACTTGAAGTTTTGGAGTTCAATTCCTGAGGCGCACCCATCCCTAATTCTGCTAATTAGCAGTTCAGCCCTTTGCTTAGTTTGTAATGAAAATGATGCCAGGGCTCAAGCACTTTTTTACATTCATAACTGAGGCAGCAAGTCCAGAGGTGTTGGGGCTATATACTGCCAAGCATAGAAGGGCCAAGGTTCAGCCCTGGTGCAAATAAAGCCCTGCTTCACATGCAGGTGCTGTTTGGACTCGTTGTTATGAACAAGACCAAAAAGCAGAGCCAAGAAGTCCCCCTGAGACTCAGTGGCAGCTAGAGGGTAAGTCATACATCGCTTCCACTGGCCAAGGCAAATCCTCCCCCTAGCAGCAGCACAATGTTCCAGGGCATCTTCCTCTGAACCACCTTCCAGTCCAGCAGCGGAGCTGGGAAAAAGGGCTCTTGCGTCACTGAAATGATAAAAGCAGAGCATGGAATGCTGTGAGATGGAGATGCCAACTTTGTTCCAGCTGTACGCTCAGATGTGCGCTTACTGTAGCTACTACCCCCGCGCAAAGGAAGCGCCCGCACCCAGTGACTCAGGGTACGTCTACACTATAGCGCTAGTTCGAACTAACTTAGTTCGAATTAGTTAATTCGAACTAAGCTAGTTCGAACTAACGCATCTAGAACTAAAAACTAGTTCGAACTAGCGTTTTGCTAATTCGAACTAGCAAGTCCACATTGAGTGGACTCTGAACAGGGCTTAAGGATGGCCGGAAGCAGTGCCGGCAGGGCATCAGAGGAGGACTTAGAGCATGGAGATGCTGTCTCAGGCTAGCCGAGGGCTGTGCTTAAAGGGTCCCGACCCCCACCCCGGACAGACAGTTCTCAGGGGTGCCCCGCTTGCAAAGCAGTCCTGGCTTGGATTGCCCAGAGTACCCACACTGGGCACATCACAGCACTCGGCCATCAGCCCGGCTGCACTTGCCGCAGGCTGCCATCTGGGGAGAGGGAGTAATTGGGGGGCTGCAGGAGAGCTTCCACCCCCAGAAGCCCGCAGAGCCAGCCCAGTCCTCCCCATCGGGGGCTCGTACCCCATTCCTCCCTCACCTCCTTCCACTTACCCTTCCCTAGCCCCCCTTCTTATTGATGTACAAAATAAAGATAACGTTTCTTCCAACATTGACTCTGTCTTTATTGAAAAAAAAACTGGGGGAGACTGGGAAAAGGAGGTGGGAGAGGGGAAGAGAAAGGCTGGGAGAAGAGAGGGCAACTAACATGATCAGGGGTTGGGAACAGGTCCCAGATGAAGAGAGGCTACAGAGACTGGGACTGTTCAGCTTAGAAAAGAGGAGACGGAGAGGGGACAGGATAGAGGTCTCTAAAAGCAGGGGTTGGGTGGAGAGGGTGCATTCAGAAAAGTTCTTCCTGAGTTCCCATAAAGAAGGACTAGAGGACACCAAAGGAAAGGAATGGGTAGCAGGCTTGAAACTAGTAAGAGAAAGTTGTTCTTCTTCCCAAAGCAAATAGTTAACCTGCGGAACTCCTTGCTGCAGGAGGCTGTGAAGGCTACAACTAGAACAGAGTTGAAAGGGAAGTGAGATCAAGTCATGGAGGTTGGGTCCATGGAGTAGTCTTAGCCAGGGGGTAGGAGTGGTGTCCCTGCCCAAAGTTTGTGGAAGGCTGGAGAGGGATGGCAAGAGACAAATGGCTTGGTCATTGTCTTCGGTCCATCCCCTCCAGGGTCCCTAGGGTTGGCCGCTGTCGGCAGACAGGCTACTGGGCTAGATGGACCTTTGGTCTGACCCAGGACGGCCATTGTAAGCTCAGGGCTCAGTGTCGGGGGTCTCAGTGGACCCCCTTGATTTTCATGCACACCTGGTCCTGGGTGGCCAGGCTGGCAGCTCTCCTGCCCTAGACGGCCACTTTCCTGTGCCTAGTGCGGAGATCGTGGACGAGGTCCACGATGTCCGCACTAGCCCAGGAAGGTGCCCGCCTCTTGCGGTCCAGGGCAAGCTCCCGGGAGCCGCCAGCCTGGTCCCGGCAAGAGGGGGTGGGCTGGGGGGCATCGGGTGGGTGGCTCTGTGCCGTGCCAGGTGCAGGGTCTGCTAGCTGGGTGCTGGCAGGCTTGCACCTGGCACGGGCACCGTAGCCAGCCCGTGCCCCTTTAAGGGGTCCGGGGCCGGGAGGGGGGCATAGAGTTTCCCTGGTGTTGGCCAGAGTGGCCACCAGGGAAACCTGGGAAGCCTTAGCCTCCCACTAGTTCGAACTAAAGGGCTACACAGCCCTTAGTTCGAACTAGCTAGTTCGAACTAGGCGTTAGTCCTCGTAAAATGAGGTTTACCTAGTTCGAACTAAGCGCTCCGCTAGTTCGATTCAAATTCGAACTAGCGGAGCGCTAGTGTAGCACCTATTAAAGTTAGTTCGAACTAACGTCCGTTAGTTCGAACTAACTTTGTAGTGTAGACATACCCTCACAGGGTACATGATCGCCCAGGACAGGAATACTAGTGAAAAAACTGCCCGTTCTAGTGCACATTGGGTTAGGGCCAAGCACCAGCAGTAATTAAGGTTAGCTCCCAGGGATTGCACACACTAAGGGCTTGTCTATTTAAACACACAGACCATGTCTACACTAGACCTAGAAGGTCGCTTAAGGTACGCAACTCCAGCAGATGCTTCCATCGGCTTCCCTTACTCCTCACAACTCCAAGTAGTACAGATGCCAGTCAAAGCTGTCATCAGCGTTTGATTTGCAGGTCTATACTAGACCCACTAAAATCGATTGCCAGAATGCCAATCTCCAGCATGGCAAGTGAAGATATGCCGCCCTTCGTTTGCAGCAGGCTGGAGCGTGAATCTGTACTGCACCAGCTTTCCACACACTAACTCTACCCAGGTTCCCCATGGACACACAGTCAAAGTGCCACAGCAGATTCTGATCTACCCTGCTCTGAAAGAGGAGTTGGATAGCATGCTGCACAGGGGAATTTTTAGCAAGCAGCAGGATCCAGACAGACAGCGTGCAGCAGGCTGGCCTAGGGTAGATTTCCCCATCAGTTTGCAACACCCGAATGGTTCCTGCAGACAAGCCATAAGTCACAAAGGATTGCTTCCTCCAGCACCATCAGCTGCAGCTGAGCAATGACTTCCCAATCTCAGCATGGTGAGTTGTGTTCTCACCACAGAATCACGAAGCCGCGATAGTGTCAATTTCTCTTTCCGTTACCTTCTTCATTCTGTTCAGGGTTAAAGCTATTTTGACGATAGCAGTTGAACTTGGGCTTAGTGGCAGGAACTATGAACAGTAGTAGTGCAACAAAGAGAGCTACTGTGGCATCAGTAACGTACCTTCAAGAAAAAGCACACAGCAGTTTAGAATATAGGACACTCTTGCTCCATTACATGGCACCCCTCCAGCATGGCATCTACCCAGTACACACACACCATTGTCCCTGTACACTGTAACCCACAAGTCCTATTTACTTTTGTCCTTACAATCTCTCGAAATGGTCAAGAATTCAGGAACATTTTGTACCAATATTGCAGACTGTGATACTCAGACCAGCAAATCTCTATATTTGTATCACCTCACTGAATGTCATTTTGCAGTTCTACTGAAAGATCTCAAACGTCTGCTCTACCACACTTCTGTTAAGTAGGGAAGGATTATCATCCACATTGTATCCTGGGGAAACTGAGACACAGAGTGCTAATTAAGTTGTCTAAAGGTGAATGAATGCCTGGACCAAAACCCTGCTGGAATATCAGCCCTTTGAAAATATTTCCTTTAAGAGGCTAAGGTGCTTAAGTCCGATGTGTGTCTATGCTGCAATCCCCAGATGCGATTGCAACATATGCAGACATGCCTGCACTGGCCTTAATCTAGCTGCCATAAGTACCTAGAGCAGTGAAGCTGCAGCAACGTGAGTTTCAGTGCGCACCGTCCAGCCTACCAGGATCCCTGGGTACTTACACTGGCAACTGGCCTGTGTCCAAGCTACTGCAGCTTTGCTGCTATTGGTACTCGGGCAGGGGAGCCACAAGCCTCTGTGGGCCCCTGGGCAAGATGTGTGGGTGGGGAGCCAGCTCTGTGCTCCTGAAAGGGGTGGGTCCTCAGGCGGAAGGGCAGGGGCAACCTTCTGCACCGTCCAGAGCACCACATGCCTCCCCCGCAACCCTCAGAGCTGCCAGAGCACCAATTTTTAGGGCCCGGGGGAAACAGTGGCCAGGAGCCCAAGGTCTCTCTGAACTGCCGGGCCCCAGGGCACCTTCCCCCTTTGTCTCCACTCCGGTTGGCAGATAGTTAGATTAGAGCTAGTGCGAGTGTATCTGCCTATGGTGCTATCACACTTCCTATGGCAGTGTAGACATACCCTTAGGCACTTAATGGGAGGTGCCCTAACTCACTTTTGAAAATGGATTTAGGCTCCCAAAGGGGTAGCTGAGTTAGTCTGTAACTGGAAAAACTTAAAAAACAATGAATAGTCTAGCACGGGATGGGCAATAATTTTTGATGGGGGGGCCACTCCCAAGATTTTGGAAAGTGGTTGAGGGTTGCACTCTTCTATGGTATTAATGGAGGAGGTGCAGGGACTGGCGTGGAAGCTGGGTGCAGAAGGGAGCTTGGAGTAAAGGACTGGGGTGCCGGAGGCAGAATGGAGTCTGAGAGGGAGTTTTGGCAAAGGAGGTGGTTGTAATCTAGGGCAGGGAACTGGAACACAGATTTTTGGGATGTGAGCTAGGATAGGAGGGGATTGTGATCTCAGGCAGAAGATTCGGGTGCTAGATCTGGGAAGCGGTATGGGTGCATGTGGAGTAGTGGGGCAGGTGTGTGGGCAAAGGGTTGGGGAAGGGAGAGGCTAAGGTGCCAGAGGCAGGTTCTCACCAGAAGACTTACCTGCCTGCCTGCCTGCAGAGCTAAAGGCTTGCAGAGCTTAAAATGTTTCTGCCTGCTTGGCCATGTGCTTGAGTGAGGCTACGTCTAGACTGCATTGCTTTTCCGGAGGTATCCTGGAAAAGCAACACTGTGTCCAAGGAACACGTCCGCTTTTTCGGAAAAAATTTCGAAAAAGCGGATGCACTCTTTTGCCATCCCTGTAAACTTAGTTTTACGAGGAATAAGGAAGAAATGGCTCAAAAGAGCACTTTTTTCCAAAATTTGGCACCGTGTAGAGCTCTCATGAGCACAACTTTTGTACATGCAATTGGTGCATGTGAGCTGAATAAAGACACTTCTCAACAGGAAAGCCACAACAATTCAGATGTTGCTGCACATGTGGGGTTGTGGCAAGAAATGATCTTAATTGTGTCTCCCCTTAAAACTTGTGTGCAAGGTTAAGAGCACAGGAGGAAGATAGAGAAGTCATTCAAATCACTGAGTCAGTTTCTTTGTGGGTGATGGATAGCTTCTCCCTTGCAAATGACATTACTGCCTATTAAAATGACATTAAACCTGATCCTAGTTCATAAAATTGGAAGGCTAATAAAAATATATACACAAACTGGATTGACACACAAATACCATGAATATCCCTCACACTGGCTCTGCAGCACCTTTGTTACATGTGCCTCTTTAGAGCAGAGATTGTCAATTATCTGGTGGTTTGGTGCTGCCCAACAAATGAGAACTAGCATCAGACCCATCACGCAACGTCCATGTGTGACGTGAGACAGGAGCTGAATGAAACACCCCTTATGATCAAACAGGCGTAGAGGCAAATAATTTATTGCTCCATCAGCCAAAACACTGCAGGATTCAAACTTACTCTTCATCTTTGTTGAAGAGGAAGGTGGCCCAGCCAGGAACAAAGCCCGGATCTCTACTAAACCACAGGAGAATCAGCAGAAGGAAGAGCATAAGGACACTGAATTCAGCAAAGGAGATGGATCCTAGTTTCTGGTGCTCTTCCTTGAGCACACGGAGAGCAGATTTCTCTTTGTCCGATCTTTCCATCCCGCAGCCCCATGTTTTTCTAAAACTGGAAAAAGAAAAGAAAGAAAAAGTTAAAAAAATAAAAGGAGGGACATTATAAATATTTCCAAGAGAAAATACAAGCAAATCCGCTTTGACTCTTGCCACAGGGGGCACAAGAACCCTGTTAGCACCCCGTGGGAATGGCTGCAGCTTCAGCATGTTATAAAGTTAACAGCTCCTGTCTTATCCTTTGCACATAGCTGCTATGGGCTACTATCGCCTGCTGAGATGTGTGGTCTGGGGAGCAGGGCACTGCACTGGGAGTCAGGAGAGCTAGAGTGTATTCTTGACTCTGCTACAGATTTGATCTACAACCTTAGGCATGTCACTTCACCTCTCTGTGCCTCTGTTTCCTGGCCCACTCTTTGCCCATCTCGTCTAGATAGATTATAAAGTCATTGGGGTAGGAACTCTTTCTTACTACGTGTGGAGCCTCAAGATCAGTTGTGCTCTCTAGAATATACTGGAAAATAAAAATTAACTACAAATGCGATGGTAACAAGCAAAGTTCAATCTCACCACAGAGGGTTATGCATGTGAACTTCCTATTAAAGATATACAGTGTTACATGACATGTGTGATTCCAGTACTTTGCTTCCAAATTGTAAACTGGGGTGGGGAACCTATGACCCGGGGGCCGGCTGTGGCTCCCAGCTTGCCTGGATCCAGACCCTGTGGCTCAGGGATTGTCCCCCCCATTGGGGAGCCTGCATTGGTGCTCTAGACCTCTGCCACCCTCTCACAGGGCTGGAGAACATAAAATCTACCAGCCTGGTCTCCCCTAGGCTCTGGTGTGCACAGAGAATGTGAGGAGTGCCTTTTTCCTTCTCAGTCAGGGACATCTCACTTTGGGTGCGTTTGCACCGCACCCTTAGCTTGAAATAAGATAAGCAGTATTTGGATTCTTTTCTGGAATAGGTGATTTCGAAATTTGGTGTGTCTGAATAGTGCCAAATATTGAAATAAAACACTATTTCGAGACATCCCTTATCCCTCGTGCAACAAGGTTTACAGGGATGCCAAAATAGCGCGTTCGCTATATTTTGCAATAGCGGACATGTTCAAAAGACGCAGGGTAGCATTGCAGTGCAGACATACCCTTTGCTTCTCACTTGTGTGTGGACCCCCGACTGATTTTTCTCTGGATCAGTGGCTCCCGACCCAAAAAGAGTTCCCCACCTAAGCTCGGCATCATGTAATTTCAGGAACATACGTATTCCCAATAATAGAAAGACAAACCAAGAGGGCCAGAGTCTCAGCTGATTGACACTTGCTCAGGACCTGCCCCGCAACATTCTATTTGTATACTTACTTGAACCCCATGAATGAAAACTGGAGCCAAAACCAAGATAAAGTCAACATCAGAATCATGTTAGGAAACGCAAATCCAAACCAGGAAGCAAAATTCAAGATATCGCCATTTTCAGGGAACAACCTGAAGAGAGAAAAGCATGATTTCTCTACCAGGGTCAAATCACTTGCGTATATTCTCCCTTCTATATGTGCTAATGGGAACAATACAAGAGCCCCAGGGCTTGTCCATTACTCAACCCTATGGGCCTCCTCCAAAGCCAATTGAAGTCAGTGGAATGACTCTCCTGAGCGCTAACTGCCTAGACTGAATTGCCCCCTGTTGTTTACACAACGCTTTACATGAGGGCTGTGTCTAGACTGGCAAGTTTTTCTGGAAAATCATCTGCTTTTCTGGAAAAACTTGCCAGCTGTCTACACTGGCCACTTGAATTTCCGGAAGAGCACTGACGATCTCATGTAAAATCATCAGTGCTTTTCCGGAAAAACTATGCTGCTCCCGTTTCGGCAAAAGTCTTTTTCCGAAAGACTTTTGCGCAAAAGGGCCAGTGTAGACAGCATAGTACTGTTTTCCGCAAAAAAGCCCCGATCGTGAAAAAGGCGATCGGGGCTTTTTTGCGGAAAACCATGTCTAGATTGGCCACGGATGCTTTTCCGCAAAAAGTGCTTTTTTGGAAAAGCGTCCTGCCTAATTGCACACAGTAGCCCATCTTGCTGTTTTTCATAATTCATAGAATTTAAGGCTAAAAGGGACCAATAGATCATCTAGTCTGAATACCTTCATATCACAGCCTGTTACATTTCATCCCTTGCGCTGCTGCCTCTAATAGAGGTACCGCTTTTAAACCAGCTGCACCCAGCACCGACTCCTGCTCCACCCTCTACTGCCTCTTATAAAGAGCGGAATGTGAGTAGTCAACTCCGCTACCTGAGGGCTACGTCTAGACTGGCATGATTTTCCGCAAATGCTTTTAACGGAAAACTTTTCCGTTAAAAACATTTGCGGAAAAGAGCATCTAGAGTGGCACGGACGCTTTTCCACAAAAGCACTTTTTGCGGAAAAGCGTCCGTGCAAACCGAGATGCGCTTTTCCGCAAAAAAGCCCCGATCACCATTTTCGCGATCAGGGCTTTTTTTTGCAGAAAACAAATCTGAGCTGTCTATACTGGCCCTTTTGCCCGAACAGGAGCAGCATAGTATTTCCGCAAGAACACTGACAATCTTACCTGAGATCATCAGTGCTTTTGCAGAAATTCAAGTGGCCATTGTAGACAGCTGGCAAGTTTTTCCCAGAAAAGCAGCTGATTTTCCAGAAAAACTGGCCAGTCTAGACAAAGATTAGGATTACTGGGTAGTTACCTAATCAACTACTTTTTACATCTCTACCAGGTACTACACCTTCCTTAGGAGATGGGTCAGAGCGAAAGTCCTGTTATAACTGGGGTACAAACCCTGTTATTTCGCAGTGTGGACGCAGCTCAAGCTGCAGACCCAAGTCAGAAGGTCGGCGTAGAGCAGTCTGGAAGCATTAGCACAGCTCTGTGACCTGGGCACAGGAATTACAAGCCCAGTGCAGGCTGACACACACCAGCCTGGCTCCCACAGACCTGGGTTTACAATGCAAGGTAGATATACCCCCAATGGGCTGCAATGACAGACTGGAAGCCTTTGATTTAGATGCCAACTACCCACTTGTGCTGGAGCAAAAGCTTTTGAGGCAAAACACAGCATATATATTATTTGTTATGTCATGCACACAGGTAGCTGCAGCTCCTAGAACCAACATCAGTGGCGATCAAGTCACACCTCCAGCTGTGCTGGTCCAAATGCAGTATTTAAGAGACCGAAGGAGAAAAAGCAAGAACTTACTGGTTCATCTGACCTTTCAAAACCAGGTTTGGCCCCGTTCCTGTGAGAGTTGCGGTTCCTCCAATACTAGCAGCATAGCACACACACAGTGTCATCCCCTTACTGATGCGCTTGTTCAATTCCCGGTCACCAGGAGCTTTGGGCTCATCACGAATGTGTCCGTTACCAAGGACTGGAAACAAAAAATATGAACCTACCTTCAGAAAAGCAACGGAGCTGCAAAGCTCAGCACAGAGGCAGCCAGGAAGGCTCACAGACTTGCCGAACTTCTGGGCAAGGTGGGCTGTGGCTCTACGCTACAAAATGGGGTGGGGTTTCAGGAAGAAGGGGTGAGACTAGGGCCAGCTGGTCCTCACTGCCACACAGAGTGCGCTGCACTGGCGCCCCTCCCCACAGCCAGCCCTTAGAGCTGACAGAAGTGCGCCACGCAGGGCTTCAGCAGCAAGTTAAATGGCCTGAGGCCTGGGTCCTTTTGAATCACCAGGCTCCAAGGCCACTGTCCTCCTCTCCTCCCCATTGGTGGGCCAGCAGGCAGCGCTCCCGGTCCTGCAATTTCTCAATGCCTCTTGTTGTACTGGATGCCAATCTACACTGATAATGTCCTCCTAATCCCTTACAATAATGCTCCCTATAAAGAGAAGCGAGGATGGTCCTGTGGCTATGGCACTGATTTGGCTTCATAGAGACTAGGGCTTGATTCCTGCTTCTGCCACAGCCTGTTTGTATGAGCTTAAGCGAGTTGTTTTCCCTCTCTGAGTAAGTTTACACTGGGCTCTGACTCAGATTTAAGCCCAAAGCCCCATTCCATCCACACACAAATCAGCATGACTCGGGTCAGCAAGGCTATGTCTACACTCGTGGCTTCTTGCGCGAGAAAAATGCAAATGAGGCTAAGCGTGGAATATCGCCAAGCCTCATTTGCATACCTAATGAGCCGCCATTTTTGCAGAAGGAGTTGTCTACACTGTCTACTACATTATTTTCAGGAATAATGGCATTTCGCAAGAGGGTTTTTCTTGCGCAAGAAGGGGCAGTGTAGACAGCTCCTTCTGGCGCAAGACCCTCTTCTGCAAAAATGGTGGCTCATTAGGTATGCAAATGAGGCTTGGCGATATTCCACGCTTAGCCTCATTTGCATATTTCTCACACAAGAAGCCGTGAGTGTAGTAGACATAGCCCAACTGCCCAGGAGTGTGGTCCTCTTAATGGGACTGATCCAAGTAATGCCGTGGACATGTTAGTGTGGCTGTGCAATCCAGGTTCAGCAATTGTGAGCCTAGGTGCACAATGCAGCTCAATGGACGCTCAAGCATAGGCTTGGAAACTCTGTGCCCACAAGGCCTGGCCACACAGACCTGGTTATGCAGGGCTTTTGGGCCTCCGTTTTCTGCTCCGTGTAATGAGGTTAACAGTGCTTCCCTGCCACAGAGAGGAGTTGTGAGGTAAATATATTAGGATCTGGGTGTTGCCCAGAATTTCAGGGATGGTGTTATTCAAACACCAAAGCAGGAACCCACAGACTAACACTGGAGGCTTCCAATACAGCTAGAGAAAACATAGGCTCCAAGCTGTTCCTGATATAACTGCTAAGATCACGGTGTCTGTTTCCATCAGGCCTGTGTTTGCTTCAGTAAGAGAGTCTGTCCTGTTGCTTCTTTTGGACCAGGGCCTAATTTGGAAACCCAAATTATGTTGTGGGACTGGGTTAAAATCACTGTGGAAACTGAGAGCAATTGCTGCCACAGCAGAGTGGCAGCATTTTTTATTAAGCGCACAGAAGAAAATCTACAGCCACTACCACAGCTCTGAAGTTCGACAAGGGCAGCATTATCACGAAGCACCAAGTGAATTCTGGGTAGGCATTAATATATGTCCTGCATCACCACAATCATTCATGGATTTCACCCTCCCAACATCCCTGGGAGGCAAGGGTGTATTGGGATGTTAACTATTGGTTAATTGACTAATCGAGTAGTCGATGGAATTTCCATCAACTACTCAATTAGTCGATGGGGGTGGGGAGCTCCCACTGCAGTTGAAATGCAGTATGAACCCTGGGCTCTTATTACATTTAAATTGCATCCACAGCAGTGTTAGATCAACAAGGCAGCCCCTGGGATCACTGCGGCTCTGCCTCCCCTACCCCTATTTCCCCCGCACCGTGGAGATGGTGCTGGAAGAAGCCGGCCATCAGCACCAGCTCCTGCTTTGCCCTCTCTTGCTGCCTCCAATACATTGGTGGAGGGGAGGGGGAGGATGGGAGCAAGTAACTGAGTACTCACTCGAACAGTCACTTACGTCTCTAGGATGTATTACCCCCAATTTACAGATGAAGAACTGAGGCACAGGGGAGATTAACTGACTTACTAGAGATCACCCAGAGAATCTGGGATCGAGTCCATTTCTGATTAATTTAATTCAGGCCCCTTGAGTCCCAGTCTAGTTCCCCACTCCATAGAGCAAACCGCCCTTCTTCCTCTGAAATGTACAATAGGCCCTGATCTTACAATAGCTCCACATGGGTGGTCTTCTGTGCCTGCCAAGCACAGGCCACCACAAGCCTAGGAGCAAGGTGTGGGTGGGCCTGGCTCCGCAGTCCCAGAGGAAGCGGCATCTTGGGTGGAAGGAGCGGGGCCAAGGACATTCAGCCTTAGCACCACCCACAGCATGCCGCTGGGCCCTCCCTCCCACCACACCCTCAGAGCTGTGCAGAATGGTGGAGCTACATTCCTGCATCATTTCAAAGGTTCCTGGAGCTCCCAGCCTCCGCCAGGCTGGCTGCCAAGACACTAGAACTCATTAAGGATGCAGAAAAAATCCTGCTCATCGCAGGATAAGGATCTCCAAAAATCCCAAAGTACATAGAAAGAGACTGTCAAACGTGGAGAGGCAAAGAATCCCCACGAGGGTGAGTACATTTCATGGAAGGACACGTCCCAGCTCTCAGCTTCACTGAGACCCTGCAGCTCCTTCTCAGTCCATATTCAATCAGTTTTTCAGTATTTCATTGCTTCCCCACTGCCTGCCCTCAGCTTGCTTGAACAGCAAGGACAAAACAAAAAGAGAGCGGGGAAATGTTCAGTCATGCCTCAGTTCTTTAGGAGTCAAAATCCCATTGACACCCAGGTTCCTCAGGACAGCTGGGTGCTTTTGAAAATGTTACCCATTGGTTTCAGAGTCAAAGGCAGCTGTGGATGCCTGGCACAGTTGAAAATTAGGACCAGAGCACCCACAGCTAGCAGGCAACCAGAACAGACAGCCATTTTTGAAAATTTGGGCTTTACTATATAACTTGGATTGTTTCTGGGTAATAGCACTCCTGTTTTCTTAGGGCCTGCGCCTAACGCAGTGTTGTCAATACGAGTTTTTTGCCTAAAGTCAATGGGCTGGGCTCAGGTCCGTATCAGGCTTTGGTACAGCAATAGAAACAGACTTTTATTGGACCTACTGGGCAGCCCCTTACCCTGTACGTCTGTCAGGCTCATTGCATTCTTCTCCTCCAGCTCGATCACTGAATTCACTAGCCCCATCGGTTGGTCCATAATTGTTAGGTCCTGCTCTGTGCTGTTCATCTGATCCAAGACAGCCTGGACGATAGGGACCATCATGGCGGTCGTGGCCGTGTTGCTTATCCACATAGACAAGAAGGCGGTGACGCCCATAAAGCCCAGCATCAGGCTGCATGGAGAGAAGCAGACAGCAGGAAGGAAAAATAACTGTGAAACTCCTGCTGGGATTTCCAGCCAGCGAAACCTTATTCCAGGCTACCCAGTACAGCCGGCCCCACCCTGGATGCACGGCCTGCTCCAGGAAAGGAAACCCTTGTTCTGCGACCTACTTCCGGGCCACTCAGTACAGCCGGCCCCACCCTGAGTGCACGGCCTGCTCCAGGAAAGGAAACCCTTGTTCAGTTTTTAGTGGGCGCATTGCTCTCATTTGAGTCAGACCAGTACAGTTAGCCTCATGCGTCTCCCTGTGAGTCACTTCTCTGTCATGTAAGCCCTAGTTCAGTGGTCTCCAGCCTTTTTAAGCAGGAGATCACTTTTTGAATTAAGCTGCAATCCAGGATCTACCTCAAACCCAAACACCCTTGTCCCCGCCTCCTTCCCGCCACTTCTCCAAGGCCCTGCCCCTGCTCACTCCATCCTCCCTCCCCCATCCTCACTCACTTTTATCAGGCTGAGGTCAGGGGTTTGGGGTGCACTAGGGGTTCAGAATGTGGGCTCCAGCTGAGCACCACTTACCACAGGTGGCTTCTGAGTGGTGGTGCAGGGGTAGGTTCACCCCTACCCTGGTCTATTCCCCTCTGTTCTGTGAAGATGGAGTACAGGGTGGAGGGAGTGGCACCCTGACATTAGCACCCCCCCTTCCTCTTCTTCCCATGCTCTGCACAGCAAGCAGGAGGCTCCCAAGAGTAAGGGGCACCTCCAAAGCAGAGGACAGGGGCTGCACAGCAGTGCTGAGAGGGGTAGATGAAGTGTCAGCACTTGACAGCCTCCTGGCCAAACCTCTCAGGATCACCTGTTAAAGGTTCCAAGATCTACCAGCAGATCCAGATCTACTGGTTGGTGACCACTGCCCTAGTTGTAAGCACCTATCATTTAGCCAGCATACAAAATCCACTTCATAACAGCAAACCACAAGTGAGGTTGCCTTCCTCTCCTCTGATTGCTGCTAGAAACCTGGAAAATTGCACTCTCGGTCTTATATTGTGAGCCTGACTTGGGCAGTGAACCCTGGCTAATACGTGTGTGTGGGCCCCTGGACAAAGTGGGGGGGATGGCTCCATGCTACCAAAGAAGGCGGAGACTCAGGAAGAGCAGGCAGAGCTTTGGGCAGTGAAGTCTTCACCACCCAGAGCATGGCGTGCCCTCCCCTGCTCTCAGAACTGCATGGAGCATGTGGCATTGTGCTCTAGTGGCAATTCAAAGGGCCTTGCACTCTAGCACCCACTGCAGTAGCAGCAGCAGTGGCCAGGAGACCTAGGCAGCTAAGAATCACTGGGCTCGGGGGCAACGGCTCCCTTTGATCCCTGCCCATCGACAAGCCTGGGAGCAGTGGTGTTGTTGGCCGCCCCCTCATTAACATCAGCACTGGAATTAATAAGACACAGACCGGGCGCCATTTATGTCTTCTCTTTGCTAACAACTGGAACAGGATGCAGGCTTTTGGCATCCATGAAAAAGGCATCAGGGCTCTCAGCATCACAGATATGCTGGTTCCTGGAGCCTGAGCACAGCCTGGAAGCAGGGGAGTAAAACCCTCCCCACCGCACTGCCACAGCTCCTCATGGCTTGAGCAACAGCTGTCACCCCGCACCGTGCAGTCCAGATAGCTCTGGTCCCACTGAGCATCTCCTTGCCCCCTCTGGGGCCTTTGCCCTTGTCATCCAGTATCTCTATGCAGATGAAGAAGGCAGAGCCTAGTAAGGAAGCTCCCCAGCTTACAGGTTGGGCACAGTCCCCCTGGGTGATGTGTCCATTGCCTGCCTCCCCACACAACAATTCTGAGGGACTTAAGCACCACACAGGTGGGAGGTAGGAAGGATGTGACCCAGAACAAACTCTCGGGGCATTCGGCCTCAAACTTATAAGGTCTGTTCTAGAGCCCTTCTGGGACCTGACTGCCTGTGTCCAGGCCTGGGGCAGGTCAGGTGGGAAAACACCTCGACCCTCTTAGCCTCGGGCCTGTAGGATTAGTGCGGTGCTGGCTGCGTGGCCTATGCCTCTCGGCCGCCATATGAGCTGAAGAGCCTGGCACCTCTTACTCTGCAGCGCAGGCAGTGCAGCAGCAGGGCATGCAGTCCTCAGTGCATGCGGCTACCACCCCGCCAACTCCAGAGCAGGAGGCAGATACAGCAGCACTGTGGAAGGGTCAGGTCAGAAAATGACTTCAGCCCTCTCAGGTTGGGGTCATGCGGGCTTGGGTCAGGCTTGGGGTGGTTTTACTCCAGCTCCCCAAAGAATCAGATTCAAACAGGGACTGAATGTCCAATCCAACAGCACTCTGCCCCCAAATGGGAAACACGAATGCCAGGCAAGAGGGGCTTAATGAGGCACTTGGAACTGCACTAAGGCCCATTGAGTCCAGTGTAAGAATTGATAAAGACAGGTCAGCCGGTGGGGCAGGGACAGTTGCCCTGTGGCCTGTCAATTCAAAGGGGATGGAGCTCCTGGCCACTGCCACTGCTACTATTGCATTAGTGGTGGCCAGAGCCCTGGGCCCTTTGAATCACTCTTGAGCACCCCTGGGTGGCTAGCTGCCCCAGCCCTGTCTCTTCCACCCAAGGTCCCGCCCCTTCCAGGAGCATGGAGCTGGGCCCCCCTTCCCACAAGTGGTGAACTCCCCAAAACAGAATCCAGCTCTTTGTAATTCTACAGAAAGACTTCCGCTGACTTCAAACATAGCTGAAGGATGAGCATCTTCCCTTGCAGCCTTTCTGCCCTTCCAAACACTGCCCCATTTCTGCGGGTGTACACAACCTCTGGAAGCCCTTTCTAGAGCAAGCAAAACCACTGAGGCTTTTGTAGGCTGTGTGCTGTGCAGCTCAGGTCTCCTGCTCTTCCCCATTTCTCCTGGCATCTGAAGAAGCTTCTGCTAAGCTTGGCTGTTCCTGATCACAGATTGATAGGATGGCAGGTTTAACAGGGCCTCTTACAGTGGGGGTTTCACTCCGACGATCAGCAGGACCCTCAGTGCAATGCGTCTGTGCAAATTCCAGTGTTCCACGGCTACTGCCACAATCAGCCCCCCAACAAACAGCATGTTGGTGTCCTTCAAGTACTGCATACACACCTGCAATGAGAGGTACTGCCTGTCAGTCTCTGATCCACAAATATCAACAGCCATGATACTCAGGTGCAAGTCCTATACATTTTCTCAGTTCCATGCCTCTGTTTGCCTATTTAGATGCTGTGCTGCTGTGGGCAGGGGCTGTCTCTTAGCTGGTTTGCATAGCACCTACTACAATGGGGCCCCTATTGGTTGAGGGCGGTAGAAGCAAACAACAGCATGTACTATAAGAAGTAAAGTCGCTCAGAGTATTGCTTGTATGCTGTCTGATTCTCAAAGATGCCAAGCAGCTCTGAAAATCAGCCCCATAATCCTACCCCTAATAGGTCACCAGCAGTGATTGAACCTTGCACTCTCAGAATCAACACACAGACTTGTATCACTCAAGTTCAAGTAGTAAGCCCATTAGCTGGCAAAAGTAGTAGGCGGTTATCTTTTATGAGTATCAGCATACTCTTTGGCAGCATGTTACATACATCTGCTGCAATAAAAAGCTCATCCCAAGCATCTGAAACCTCCCAAACATAAGCCCTTGATCAACAATAATTTTTACATGATCCCTTAGCTTTTAGAAATCTGAAGTTGGGTGTTTCAGCACCAAAGCACATTCCTCTACCACTGAAACATTAACTCCACATGTGGCAGCAGTAGTAGGCTGTTCTCCTCTATTTGGACCAGCTACTAAGGAAGAATAAAATCCACACTTCGCTGTCCTTTCTGTATAAACACCATATAGCTTGTTTCATATCTTTCTATGCTTGCACAATTTCTCTGTCAAGTTTCTTTGCTGAGGATTGAGGTTGGTATGTGAAAGAGGTTGAGGTGATGGATGTTAAGGTGTGAGATGCCAGGAACACACCTTTTTCCACTATGAAAAGAACCATTTCCTTACAGAAAGCAGTAGTGCTTGTTCTAAAAAGGCAGTGTGTTCAGAGGATGGCACACTCAGTCCACCCAGGAGGCCTGGGTTCTGATCTAGGTTCTACCAGGGACTGTCTGTGTGACCTTGGGCAAGTCACTTCATCTCTCTGTGCTTTGGTTTCCTCATGCATCTTGCGTGGTTAGCATGTAAGTGGCTCAGATCAAGAACTACCACTTACCTGGTGTTTATACTTCACCTAACACAATTCGGTTACCAGATGGTTTAAAAAAATCACACTTGATTTCAAATTGGGGGGCAGACTGGCCGGGAGGTGGTCAGAGGGGGCCGGGTTGGCTGGGGGAGATGGGGGAGGGGAGAACCAGCCGGCGGGAAGCAGGGCTGGCCGGGAGAGGGTTGGGGAGAGTGGGGCTGGCTGGAGGAGATCAGAGCAGGGGGAACTGGCCAGAAGGAAGCAGGGCTGGCTGGGAGGAGGTTGGGGGGAGCAGGGCTGGCTGGGGGGAACTGACCACTGGGAAGCAGGGCTGGCACAGGGGAGGCAGAGCATCGCTGGCCTGGGAGCATGCAGATCCCAGGGTGCTGTCCATCCCGCGCATGGTCCCGGCGGCGCACATGGGCGAGTCTGGCCCCGGGTATTTCTGCCCCCGTCCTCTCTACTGCATAGCTGCATACTGCCTGGCTGGTAGACACGCTCATGCAGTGTGACTGTGTCTATCAGCCAGGTAGTACTCAACTATGTACTGATACTCATGATAATAATAAAAACTTAATTAGAAAATACCAGACATTTATATTTGTTTCCAGGACAGAAAGTTCAAAACCGGACACCATGCAACCCTAAACACAATGGTTCCCTAAATTTGGGAGGTGCCTCTGGGTGCTATTGTAATATATATATATATAATAATTTGCAGAAAGCCATCAGATGTATGTGGTACATTTAATCTCAGTGGATCCCAAAGTACTTTTACAAACTACAGACAGAGGAATCCATTCACTCACCACATGGTGCAACCACCTCTAGGGTCCAGCACAGTGGCCACTATTAATAGCACACAGCAACACTGCATGACCATGAAGACTAGAAAGTGAACAAGAATCCTACATCCAGTATATATTGATGGGGAAATGTTGATAGGTAGAATAATAAGGAGCGTGAGGCAATCTCTTTTATTGGACCAACTTCTGTTAGTGAACAAGACAAGCTTTCAAGTCACACAGAAGTTGTCCAATAAAAGAGATTACCTCATCCACCTTGTTTATCCAGTATGCTAGGACCGACACAGCAGCACAGCATACAACAGCTAGAATGTCATTTTACAAACTTGCTGCCAGGATCTGACCCTTAAAGTCTCACTCCAGTTCAAATCTTGTTGGTAAAACCAGGGCAGAGATGAAACCCAATCAGATCCTTAGCTGAACCAGAACTTAGGGTCAGCAGTGCAAAGCACCCAGGGGATTCTGTTCAGTGTTACAGTCATGATGAAAAGCCACACATCACATATGATAGGCACAGACACACCGGTGCATTGGAGTATGCTTGTCTAATCTGGGCTTCTGACGTTTATGCTTAAATCCAAGCTGACCTAGAATCAGTTCTTACCTTTTTAGACTCCAAAATTCCAAACATAGGAAACAATATAGCAGGCAGGAGAGATGTGACAGCCAAAGGGATGACTTCTGTGCACCAGTAAACTGCCATGAGGATGATAACATAGGCACACTTGGCCTCCTGGAATACAACAAAGGTTTAAGCACAGGGAATCGAGTGTATGGATGAATACACCACATCTCCCTCTATATCCCAGGATATATAAATGTCAGTTCTCTAGTTCCTTAGGAGAAGGGAAAGAACAACACTCCTACTAGAGAGCTATTTTATTCTCCAAGAAACTATTCTTTGATACACAGCTGGTGCAATCTGATAAATTTTAAAGGCAAAAATATACTCTTCAGAGATGGCATCCTGGCCACATTGAAGTCAGTCAATTTTTGCCACAGACTTCAGTGGTATTAAATACCTGCAACTCTCCATTGGAGTTAACTGGATCTAGGCCCATCTCTACAAGAAGCCAAATCCTGAAAGAGACATTTGATCTTTACAGCTCAACCGGTTACTCAGAAAGGAGCCTAAGTGAACATTCATATCAAAGCTTAAAGCCTCGCCCGGAAAACAATGCATAGGCAAATCTAGGGGCATTGTAAATGCACAAAGGCTTCAGGCTAAAAAGTGTAGTATGCGGGAAAACCAGAATTCCCAGAGAAACTGCTAACCTAAATATTCAGCTGCCAATTGGCATTTGATTCAAGCAGGAGATTCCATGCCTAGTAGCCAAGCTGTTTAGAAGCAATTCATGATTTTCGATGGCTCCTCTTGTGGGTACTCATCTTAAGACACTTAAAAGGAGCCTGATTTTCACAGTACAGATAATGGCTTTCTGAACATCAAGTTACTAAGTAAAAATCTTGACAACTGAGGTACCCCAAATCACTAGCAAACACTTGAAAATCTTGGTGTCATCTTTCTTCTGAGTTGGGGCATCAAACTACCTCACTGCAGTTACCATGTTTTCTTAACACGGGAGTTGTCTGGACTAGAAATGCCTAAATATGTCCCGTGAAACAGTTGTTGAGATTTTTATAACCTAGTGATCCTAGGGTTTGTAAATCGAATCCTCTTAGGGGTAGTAGGTATTCATTAACTCACTGTAAACACTATTTTGGCTCTTAGGTGTAAATGCTCGATAGTTCGCAATTTCCTTTGGTTCATATTAACAGTTTATAGAAGGAGTTGGCAACCTGTAGCCCAAGGGCCTCATGCAGACCATCAAGATTCCACATGCGGCCCGTGAGACATTTTGTTTACCTTTGTCCATGAGCAGAGTCGTCAGATTCTGCTGGTTTCCTTCCACACCGTTTTTTCCTACCAGTATTACTAAAGTGACACACACCTAAAGCAAGTGAAGTGAGGTGCATGCTAACGGAACACATGAAGTGAGGTGCATGCTAACTGAACACATGAAGTGAGGTGCATGCTAATTGAACACAACATTGACTGTGAGAGCCATGTGCTCCCGCTGCATGCAGTCAAAGTACCGCTATGTTTCAATCAGCACACACTGTAAATGCTAGGTACATAAGAGCAGTTAGCAAAACTACCCCATCATCTTGGTTAGGAACGTCTTGCGTCTCACTGAGATGAAGGAGGGCCACTCATGAGGCCCAACCACTAGCCGAGGTTGCCCATCTCTGTTTTACAAGGTCTTAAGAATTCTTTTTATTGGCAAAACAAGCAGGCCATAAAATGATATTTTCAAATGTGCCGTAAGGCTTCATTAGCTACTTCGCTTGTCTGCATTTGCATCCCTAGTCCGAACTAGGGAGCAAATGTAGATGTACTCTTACATGCAGCAGGGTATTACTTATTTTTTGCTGACAAGCTCTTCATATGTATAGAAAATATTATTTTTAAGTAATTAGAAATGTTCATCAGTTTAAGAGGGGTTATTTATTGAACATGCTTTGTAATTCTGCTTAAGCTAGAGTATAGGAAAGATATCAAGGGAAGAGACTTACTTAAAATGTCTATGTCTTTATAACGTGATCTGAGGTCTTGCAGCAATAGCTAAGTGTTAGAATTTACATAATGTGATTGCATTTGGCCACTGTGAAAAACAGAAACAGCTCTGAGAGGCTAAAAGAGTGCACAATACAGTAGAGTACAAACATTGGTTATTTAGAACATGAAGTCAATAATTTACTTAAAGTTCAAAAAGACAACAATGCTTATAAATTAACTCTTACAGACATAGTCAATTCAAGCACAGCTCTGTTCAAAAAACTGAAAAACAAGCACTAAGGTTAGAGAATAGTCATGATTAACACTAACAACTATACAATGTTGATTTTGCTTCTTTGAACAGGAGGCAGAAAACATAACATTCTGTCCTCTCAGAGAGCAGTTGTGAAAGTGATCATTGATGGGAATTCCTGTTAAGCAATCCTGCAGTCTCCTGGAAAAATGACACAATGTTTATGCCTCATGCTCAAAAGGTACAAAAAACCTCACTAGACTCTTATTAAATTGTACATTGCTACTCTTGTACATCACAGCCCTATCACAAGCTTTTGTATCGATCCTACAATATTTGTCATCTAGCTAGTGCTTTCAATGGTTAAACCCCATCTATGAAGTCTCCCACCCTACCTCGGTGCAACTCACAGTCATTTCTCTTTCACAGGAGACTGTCAAGTTGACCAAAAGGCAGGGCTGTTATTAGGCAGGTAAACCAGAAGGGATGGCATTTATTGTTGACAAATAAGCCTGAGGTTTTTCTGAAGTTTAAAATATACCACGCATTTTAGGTCAATCAAAAATGACTAGTTGTAACATTATTTTTAGAGCAGGTCCTACAAACTATGCCAGACCATAATATTTGGTGCAAACATGTGTGGCAGACAGAAAAGATAAAAGGCCTGATCCTGGAGTTCTTACACCAGCTTTGCACTGGCATAGTTCCAATGAAATCAAAATACAACAGTGGACAATTGGTGTGCCCTCGTCCTAAATCATCAGGCACAATGTTTTACTTTTTACCTCATCTTCTCATAGGTAATAATCATGGTGTGCATTTATGCAGCTCAGCATGAGAACATCTCAAAACTTTTCACAAATACCAAATGTCATACCACGCTCATGTTATTCCAGTTTTACAGATGGGAAAACTGAGGCATGGAGGCAGCAACACAGCAAATCAGTGTTAAAACCAGGAGAGGAGGATGCTTCTGACAAAAACCTATGTACATGGGCTGAAACTTGAAACAATGTCTTTGTGGACCAACAAACTTGGTATCTAAGGGTGTTTCTAGACTACAGGATTTTTTCGAAAAAAGTAGCCTTTTTTCAAAAAAACTTCCCCTGCATCTAGATTGCTGTCGCATTCTTTCAAAAGTAAATCAAAATAACGCGGCAGTTTTTTCGACCGCAGAAAACCTTGTTTTACGAGGAAGAACGCCTTTTTTCGAAAGTGCTTTTTTGAAAAAAAGCATTAGGTAATGCAAACTGTGCTTTTTCGAAAGAGACCATCTAGACTGCGTGGGTGCTCTCTTTTGAAAAAGCGGCTTGCTTTTTCGAAAGTACTGGTTGTAGGCTAGATGCTCTTTTTTGATAGAGGCTTTTTCGAAAATATCTTTCAAAAAAGCCTCTTTCGAAAGAGGCTTTCAGTCTAGACATAGCTTAAGCTGTAACACTTATAAGATTAAAACAATGGCAAGTTTTGCGTCTGTGGGGTGATCCACATCCTGGCCCTGAGAGATTTCTTATGACCAGTTTGTATTTGCATCCTTTCTACTTCAGGGGCTCCTGTTGTACTGTTTACTGCCTAAGGTATAGCCTGGGACATACATGCCTTTTTTAAGGGTTACCCTGCAAGTGATCCTACCCTGCAAGTGATTACTAACACTGGGCATCCAAAAAAGTGCTGCAGTTCAGGTAGTAAAGGGTTAAAAACCATCAACACTGATTGAGCCAACTACGAGTTATTGAAACAATTCCCCTCTCTAGACTTCTCCGCAGAAGTCCATGCGGTTACCCTTCATAGTTTAGTATCAGAGGGGTAGCAGTGTTAGTCTGAATCCGCATAAACAAGAAGTCCTGTGGCACCTTTATCTGACTTAAGTGCGTCTTTGCCCAGGAAAGCTTATTCTCCAGTAAATCAGTTAGTCTTGCCACAGGACTTCTCCTTCTTCCTGGTTTAGGGAGAGAAAGGATGCCATCACCAGGGACTTGCAGCTGGCAAACCCTATTGCAGCGAGTTGCCCAGAAGGACTGGTTGGGAGTGCAAGGGGCTCCCTGTTGTTCTCCTCGATGGATGCTGGGCGCTGAGAAATGCAGCTCCAGCCGGGCTGTGGTCCTGGCCAGATCCTCCAAACCTCTGCCAGCCCCGTGGTGCTTGAGGGTCAGGGGCAAGGACCACGCCTCGCTACGACCCCTGGAGAGCCCCCAGCGCTACGCTGCCTGGCTGCAGGGGGGAGCAAGCAGCAGTGGGCAGGAGAACAGCAGAGACACCAGCATCCCTGGTACCGCTGGTGCAATTAAGAAGGATTGGGAGGGGGGGAGTCCCGCAGGGAAACCAGAGGAAGCGGGACTTCGCTAGCACATAAAAGTGACCTTGGCGGGAGCAGCCCCTCCCGCGCCTAGAGATCCGGGACCCCCGGACACAGGCCCCCCCTCCCAGGGAGAGGAGCCCCCAGAGGCGCGTACCTGGGTGGGGATGAGCAGGGGCAGCGCGAGTAGCAGCAGCGGGGTGCCGAAGAGCACGGCGCAGGACTTGAACCGCAGCAGGGGTCTCAGGCACGGCGGGGCCATGGCCCGGGGCGCAGCGAGGGGATCCGAGGC